CTACCTAGGCTTTAGTGACAGTGTCACCAGCCTGCCCACGGTAGGAGGGGAGGTGCCCTAGCATGAGGGCAGGGGCCCTGGGGCATGGCAGGGTGCGGAGGAGCTGTGTGGGCAGTTCCCCCAAACCTCTGAACTGGGGACCTGGGGGGAAGGTGATTCCTGCTAAGGCCAAGGGCCTACCAAAGGGAGGGGTGGTGCTGGACGGGAGTCAGGGCCGTGGGCATAGCCACCCGGGCCCAAACCACTGTCCTGGAAACAGCTGTGCCTGTCTGGGGCGGGGGAGGGGATCCCCAGAGAAAGGCCCTGGGTGGGAGGCAGTGGGAGCCAGGCAGGGAGGGCCTCTCCCTCCTTGTGGGGGTCCCCTGCTCCTCCGTCTCCTCCCTGGCCAGGGCCTCCTAGCAGGACGGCAGGAGGCAGGTGGGATGCACCCAGGTGTTCTTCCATCCTGGGGAGGGAGAGGCCCCAGGACCAGGAGGCAGGCTCTGAGCAGGCCTGCAGGAGACCTGGTGCCACGCCTGCTGCCTGAGCCCTGGCAGGCAGCTGCCCCTCTCGGGCCTCAGCCGCCGCACACTGAAAACACCAGGCAGGAAATAGGTCTGAGTCCCGAGGTGCCGGGCTGGGTGGGGGTTTGGAGTCTCTGGGGAGAGAAGCCCCCACCTCTGGGCCCAGGGAGGTTTCTCCACCTTCCCTCTCACACATACAGGGTTCTCCTCTGCCACTAAACCATTGCTCCACAGCCCAGAGGCCCACTGCCCGGGCAGCCCAGGCCCTTGCAGTCCCGAGGAGAAGCCGAACTGGAAACCAAGGCACTTTAGCACAAGGAGCAAGGGTGAGACTGGAGGTGAGTTCGGAACACACAGAGCTCAGAAAAGAGAGCAAATTCAGCCTGCAGACCAGGGAAGGCTTCCTGGAGGAGGATAATGGGACTTAGCTAAGAGAGCTGGAGCAGCAGCTGCCAGGGAGGGAATGCATGGTACAGAGTGTGGAAGTTTGACCCAAAAAGTTGGGCTGGTTGTGAGGCTGCTATGGTAGCAGCTGGCTGGGGAGTGGGGGCCACAGGAGATTACGGGAGGATGATAGTTCAGAGGGAGGGAGGGTGGAAGGTAGGATTTCCCACATGTCAGCACAATCCAGACCCTCTAGTGGCTGGGGTCGGATACAGCCAGGACAGGGGACATCCCATCCCTCCTCAGGCCCAGCAGCCCTGTTCCTGAGGCCTCTCTCTGGCCCAAGAAGCCCTGGTACCCTAAGAGGCAGCCGAAGCCTGGGGCCCGGTTTGGGGGCAGGAAGGACAGGAAGGAGAGAACACAGATTAATCTGCCTGGGTGTTCCAGATTAGAAAGCACCCCATCCCCCGCAGGAGATCCCTAAATTATTTTTGTTTTCTTTTTTTGAGACAAAGTTTTGCTATATAGCCCAGGTTAGCCTCAAACTTGTGGCCATCCTCCTGCCTAGGCCTCCCAAGAAGTGCTGAGATTACAGGTGTGCCACCATGCCCCACAAGGTTCCTGAATTGGAACTTCAAAAAAACTTGGGCTTTCCTTTCTAGGCAAGGGGCAGGCAGATGTCCCTCGGAGATCTGCTTGGAGCACTGATTTTCGGTGGGGGTCTTCCCCTAGGCCTAGGCTTCCTTGCAAGTTCTGGGAAATTTGGGAAGCTCGTGGGATCCCCAGCCCTACCCTACCCACAGGTCCTATGCAATCTGAACTCCCTGAGGTCCTCTCAGCACAGGCTGCCCGCCACAGCACAGCCCAACTCCGGGCTCCTCGGTTCCTCATTTCTCGGCTGTGCTATCAGTTGCCTTTCCTCTTCCAGTGGTGCCCCTGCTGAGGGCTGACTCTAAACCAGCAGCGCAGGCAGCAGGCCCACCATAATCGTGCCTGTTTGGCGAGTGAGCAAACTGAGTCTAAGGGTGAGCCCACTTTTCCACACTGTGACCAAAACCAGAGAAGCAGCTGAAAGGAAAGTTATTTCGGTTCCCAAGGTTTCAGTCCACGATTGGCTGGCTCCATTGTTCTCAGGCCTTGCAGGAGGCCGTCACATCTGGGTAGAAGGAGTGGCCAAATCCAGCTGCTCACCTCCCAGCAGCCACACAACAGAGGCAAGGATAGGCCCAGGCAGACCCCCCAGGGTCACAGCCCCATAATCCACTTCCTCCAAGTAGGCCCCACCCCTCCCTCCATTACCTCCAGTAATACTATCAGATCGTGATCTCCTCAGTGGATTAATCCACTAATTATAGCCCTCAGGATCCAGTCACCTCTCTGGGCCTCAACTCTGAACACGGCTGCTGGGGAGCAAGCCCTCACTAGTCAAGTCCTTGGGGGACACTTCAAGCTTAAAACCTAACAAGGGGCCTGCCTGTCACTCTGCTCAGAGGATCAAACCTTGCTTGTTTTTCAAACTCCTGCTCCATCTGGTTGTAGGAATTAACTGAGATAATATCTATTAAGTGGCTGGCATAGGGCCAGGCTCCTGTAGGAGCTTCTAGCCTCACCACCCACCAACACTGAGATGCTTTTCTAGTGGCGGGAGAGGAGAGGGGAGCCAGGGAGTGCAGCAGTGGCAGTCTGGGGAGCCTCCCCGAAGGAGGGAATTTAGGGTCGAGGAGTGCCTTGCTGTGTGCTGTAGGGCAAGGCACCAAGGTCTCTTTTTCTGACAGTAGAGTGGCTGCTAGCACCAACCCTCCCTTTTCTGGAGTGAGAGGGAGCTCCTCTGAGGAAGGAAAGATTTCTAAAGAGCAGGTGTGATCCACTAGCAGGTGGGACATTATTACTCATAATTATAGCAGGCCGAGCTTCACAGAGCTGAAGGTACACCTCAGCATCCCAAGGAGCCAGGCAGTCATCGGTATCCAGTACAGGCTGGAGCAGGAGGTGTGTACGCCTTTTGGGGCCTGTGCAGGGCTGGAGAGGGGAGAGGTTTTCTGTGCTGCTTTGCTAAGCCCCCTAGGAAGCCCAATGAGGGCAAATCCTTCCTTCACTGCCTCATCCATTGTGCCTTCTACCAAGACAGCAGGAACACAGCGCTCCTAACCAAGGTGCACCCAAGGCAGTGCTTGTTAAGGGTAGTCTTTCTTTAGAGCATCTACAGCAAGTCTAAGGGCAGAGGACAGGGGTACGGCAAAGCCTTCGACAGTGCAATCACCCAGCCCCCTGCAGAGCTCCCCCAGTTTCCAAAAAAACCCCCCATGCACGATGCCCTGCACTCAGGGCCCCTGATTTATGCCTTTCTTTGGCAGTCCAGGATGAAAGGAACAGCAAGCCCCAGATGAATGGCATGTGACCTTGGGAGGTGCTCCTGAATTAAGATCCAGAGGAGTTACAGAACCCGAGGTGGCTTGTCCTGGCCAGGCTGGGTCCCACTTGGCTTGGAGAGATGGGTAAGGCCACCAGGCACACCTGCACACACAATCTGAGAGTCCCAGGCCCCAAGACTGAGGACACTGCCCTCTTCCCTCCCCACCCAACACCAGCAGGGCAGGGGTGGGCACGCCTAGCCTAGCCGGAAGGGCTCAGACTGGAGCTAAGGCTGTCAGCATAGGGCATCCCCAAGCTGTCTGTGCATGGATACACTTGCCTCACACCAAAGTGTGGCTGCAGGAAGAGCCCCCCTCCCCCGGGCTGGGTGCCAAGCAGTCTAAGATTTTGTCCCAGCCTGCAAGTGACCTGGGGAGAGAGAGCCCCAACTCTCCCAGTCGCCTCTCAGATGTTTCCAGCTCCACACTCTCCCCTCTCCGGAGTGACCTCACTTCCTCTTCCCAGTCCCACCTGAGCCCAGCCCCTCCTCCCACTGCTCCGCTCTGAGTCAGGCAGTCTGACCTTCGTTTCAGAGGAGGTGGCCCAGCCAATCCTGGCCCCTGAACTTGCCCTGACCTTTGCCATGTCCACCTGCCCTCCCTCTCTCCCTCACCATAGGCATCTGTCCCCAGACCTTGGGCAGCCCCAGGACTATGGGGACGAGAGAAAGGAGAGCACTGGGGGAGGAGTACTCGTTCACAATCAAGGGACCAGAGTCCCCCAGGCAGGCAGCCTGCTCCCTGCACCCCTCTTTTTTTGAAGCAAAATATTTATTGGTACATTTTAGATATACATAATGATAACACTCATCATAGGGAATTTGTACTGTACATGAAACACCTTGCTTCTTTTTTCCCATCCGCCCTTCGACCTCTCTTCCCTTCTTTATTTACAAAAGCCTTTTTTTCCATTTTTCCTTCTATTCTTTTTTTTCTCGTCCTTTCTTTCCTCTCCCACTCCCCTCTCCCTTGTTCCCCCTCTCGTTTGAACATTTTCTTCCCATTTCCCAATATCTATTATAAATTTTGTTCCTTATTTACACTTCTGGTTTCTCACACCAGAAAAACAATGCAGTATTTAAACATGTGTGTCTGATTTATTTCACTTGAGTGTGGTCTCAAGCCCTGCACCCTTCTCCTTGCAAGCACCATTCTTGGCTGGGGACCTATCCAGTCTCCCGGGATACACGGGCAGGAGCTTTTTCTCCTCGCAGGAAAAGTCCAGCAACACCCACCCAGGACACTCAGCAACCCCTCCCCGGAACCCTCCTTCCTGGCCCGATCCTGGGATGGGAAGAGCACCTTCCTCAGACAGCGATAGAGCCCCAAAGAGGGCTGACATACCCACGTCTGCAATGCACCCTGCTAGCCTCTCTCCAGCCCCCTAATACAAGCAGTCCTAGCCAAGACTGCCAGGAACCTATTATGTGCCAGGTGTTTAAGACCATCTTTGGCAAGGGTGGCAACTACACACCACACAAGGTCACAGAGTTACAAAATGACAATGGACGCGCAATCTAGCGCGAGGACCAGGCGAGGCCGCATGGCCGCCCACGCGGATCGATGAAGAGAGCGACGCCGAGGTGCCCAGAAAGGCTCCCGCACCCCGGGGAGCACGGCTCCCAGAGGCGGCCCGGCCCCGCCTAGGCCCGCCCCCGGCCCGCCCCCGGCCCGCCCCGCCCGGGACCGCAGACGGCGCCCGGCGGCGGCGCGAGCGGCTGCGCCCTGGGTGGCTCCGGGCCGTGATCGCTCCGACTTCCCGCGCAGACCTGGCCGGACGGGACCGGCGGCGCGGACGGCGCCGGAGGATGCGGCCGTGGCCCCGGGAGGCGGCAACGCGAGGCCTGGCTCTGCAGGTGGGGTTGGAGCGCGCGCGCGGAAACTTGGGCCGAGTTCGCCGCGGCGCGTGGGGCGGGGGCGGGCGCGGCCCCAGGGCGCCCCCAACGGCCAGCCTGGGACGAGCGGGGCCCGGGCCGCGGCTTCCGGAGGGCGGGCCGTGATCTGGGGCTCCGGCGGCAAGGAGGAGTCGCGCCGAGCCTCGGGCCTCCCCCCCCCCCCGTCGGCTCACGTGGGACCTGGGCGGGGACGGCGTGGGGGAGGGGCGGGACGGGGCGGCCCCGCGGGCTCCGCGCCGCGCGTGACTCACGCTCGGGCCCCGGTCCATCCGGCGGGGTCGCCCGAGGCGGCGGTTCCGGACTCCGCGCCTGCTCCCGGCCTCAGCGATCTGCGGGCGTCGGGCGCGGGCGTGCGCACGTGTGCGGGTGCAGGCGGGGGCCGTGTGCGCTCGAGCACGCTCTGGATGCACGCGTGGCGGCGCTTGTGTCAGCCGACTGGGGTGCACTCGCGCCCAGCGCCAGCGGGAGGGCGTGGGACACATGAAAGCCCGCGCGGTCTGGAGCGGCGGGCGGTGGGGCGAAGGTTCAAGCCGAACCCACACCCGCCCTCCCCACTGGAGACTTGGAGAGCCGAGGGCCTGGCCGGGGAAGTGGGGCCCAGCCGCCTCCAGGGGCGCCCAGGTGCAGGGAGGTGGAAGTTGGGCATGGGTCACCAAGTGTCCTTACCGGACAATGCTAATGGAACCGTTGTCTGAGTCCTGATGTCCCCGCTTGTCCTTTCCCTTGGTCTTCGGGACCATGCCCTTGGCCTGGCTGAGGCGGGAGCTCAGCTAAGAAGACACAGAACCCCCTCCCCTCGAGGGTGACGGGTCCTGCTCCCTGAGGCACCCTCTAAGCACTTACCCGCTTGTCATCTCTTGTGGTGGAGTGGTGGAGTAGAAGCACCTACATTTGGCTGCACTCCGAATGGGGAGGGCCCCCATTGGCAGGAAATAAGGTCTCCTCTGCTTGCTCCCTGGACACCCCCCCCCCCGCCCCGCCGAGGACTCCTGAGCGTCCTAGGTGGCCTGGTGTCTGGTGGCTGGGTCCCCAGGGGTTTCCGGAAGCCTCCAAGGCAAAGGGCACGGGTTAGGTTGGGCCCAGGAGAGGAGAACTCCCGGGGCTGGGGCTAGATATGGTGCAGGCCTGAGGAACAGTTGCTGAGACCAAAGCCACGCTTAATGAATCCTGAGCTCCCCGAGGGCAAAGCACCCCCAAACCATTCAACCTTGGGATACAGGTCCTTATCCAGCACTGCTCCTAGAACTGTGGCCGGGGTCCTGGTGCCCCTCCTGCCTTCCCCAAGTGCCCCTGAGCATTGCATGCTGGCCAGATGGACCAGTTTTCTTTATGGGAACCCTGCCTGGCTCCCTCTCACAGTTGGGCTGGGCTAGGAGTAGGCATCAGCCCCTGCAACCCTAGCATTGTCCCCTTGCTGGTCTAACTCTGAGCCTGTTGCTGTCATTTGGCCACCAGCCAGATGGGAGGAGAGGGCTGGTTCTTGCTTGTTGGTGACAGAAACCTGTGACACTTGGCCCTTGGCCTCATCATGGTAAGATTGAGCTGATTCATCCTTTCAAAGCCACAGAGAGTCTTAGGGAACGGGGTGTACCCGAGGCCGGAGGATCAGTGTGACCCCAGCAGGCCTGATGGGGCCTTTCGTGGCCACTGAGTGCCTGTTGTGTTGAGGAAGGATTCACCATTGACCTCTCTGGGTCTTGGCCCCCATCCTTCTGTGGCCCTGCCGGGGCCTTAGACTTTCTCCAACACACACACACACGCACACGCACACGCACACGCACACGTACACGTACGTGAGGCCCTGGGTGGACACAGGCTGTCTTCCCCTTGCTCTGAGCCCCATCTGCTGGATGGCTTGGATGCTGCTGCTGGGGGTTATGGCTGGTATGGACCCAGGAGCTGGGCGACCTCTCTTAGGGGGATTGATTACCCTACAGAGCCAAGCCCAGAGTCAGCATTGGCACCTGGCCTGAGAGTTTGGGTTTGAGGCCTAGCTCCACCATTTTAAAAAAAGAAATCTAGGGCCGGGGATTTAGCTCAGTGGTTCTGCCACCTGCTTCACAAGCACAAGGACCCGAGTTTGATCCCCAGCACCAAAAAAAGAAAAAAAAAAAATCTAAAAATGTAAATAAGAATCAAAATGTATAATTGATATTGTGAAATAGGAAGAAAATGTTCAGAGGAATAAGGGAAGTAGGGGAAGGGGAAAGGAAAGAAGGGAAAAGAAAAAATATGAGAAAAGGAAAAAATGGAAACAAAGTCTTTATAAATAGGGAGGGGGGTAAAGGGAGGGGAGGGGAAGGGGAAAAAATAAGAACCAAGATATATCATGTACAGGTACAAGATCCCAATGATGAATGTAACTGTACTGTATACCTAAAATGTACCAGTAAATTAAATGGAAAAAAAAAAAAAGAAATCTGAATTTGTAGACAGTGCCTGGGTCCTGTGGTTTTGATGCAGCAGGCATCTTTTTTTTTTTTCCTGTGGTATCTGGGATTGAACTTAGGACCTTGCGCTTTCGAGGCAGACACATTGCCCCTGAGCTAAATCCCTGGCCCAACATCTTTTTTTTTTTTTTTTTTTTAAGGTAAGGTCTTTCTTTGTAGCCCAGGCTGCCTTGAACTTGCAGTGCTCCTTCTGCCTCAGTTTCCTGAATGCTAGGATTAGAAGCATGAAGCACAACACCTGGCCTCAACAAGTGGTTTTGCAATTTAAAGAATAAGAGTCAGAGCCAGGTGTGGTGGCGCATGTCTGCAAGGGGGCTGAGGCAGGAGGATCACTGTGAGTTTGAGGCCAGCTTGGGCTACATAGTAAGTTCAGGCCAGCCTAAAGTACATAGGGAGACCCTGTCTCAAATCACCCCTCAAAAAATAGAGGGCCCCCCCACACACTTATAGCTCCTGCGCGTGGTCTAACCTGAGCCCACTGAGTGCCAGTTTGTTCAGGGGCTGTGAGCCAGAGAGCCTGGCCTACAGCCTGTGCCTCGCCTGCTCCTGCTCACTGACATCTTTCTCTTCCCTAGGTCCACAGTTAAGCAGCAGAGGCCCTGGAGGGCTTGACGCTGTCCCAGTGATGGCGGAGAAGCGGCCCCTGGGGCCCCTGGGGCCCCTGATGTATGGCAAGTTGCCCCGCCTGGAAGCTGACTCAGGGCCTGGACACAGCCTGCCCCCTACTGCTGGCAGCCAGGACCCCTGCAGCTACAAAGGGGCCTACTTCTCCTGCCCCATGGGGAGCACCCCCAAGGCAGGGCCAGAGCGGCTGGCATCGTGGACCCCATACCCACCCCTGTACCCTACCAGCATGGCAGGACCCCCACTTCGGGCAGACAGCCTGCTGGCCAACTGCCTGCTCTATCGGCCACCGGCAGAAGGCTCTGAGAAGATGCAGGACTCAGGCCCTGGGGAGCTCCTACCTTTCAGCCCCCCGGCTCACCCATACCCAGGCCCACCACTGGCAGCGCCCAAGCCCATCTACCGCAGCCCCCTGTGCTATGGGCTGCCCACTTGCCTGGGCGAGGGGCCAGCGAAGAGGCCTCTGGATGTTGACTGGACCTTGGTGCCCGGGTCCCTGTTGCCATCAGCTGACCCTCCCTGTTCTCTGGCCCCTGCTCCTGGCAAGGGCCAGTCCCTGGATGGTACCTTCTTGTGCGGAGTGCCAGCTGGAGGACCTGGCAAAGACACCTCGCTAGGCTTCTCCCCATGCCAATCATTCTTGGACAAATATCGGGCAGTCCACAACACAGGTTTCCTGGCCCCCAAGTACACAGCTCCTTACTCCGGGGACCCCAAACAGCCAGTATCAGAAGGGCCTTCCAGTCCATGGGCCCAGCCTCTGGGGCCACCCTTCCAAGAGACAGTGCCCACCCATTACCCACTGCCACCCCCTCCACAGGCCCTGCCCTGCTCCTCAGCTTGTCGTCACCCAGAGAAGCAGGGTGGCTACAGCTCCGTACTCCCACTGCAGCCCCTGGGAGCCCACAAGAGGACCAGGTACCAGGCTGGTGGGCTGGGCAGCTCCTACCCGAGGCAGCAGGCAGCCCAAACCCCCTATATGCCCTCCTCGGGGCTGGATACTTACTCCTACCCTTCTGCCCCCATCCCAGCCCCTTCACCAGGCCTCAAGGTGGAGCCCCCTCTTGCCCCTCAGTGCCCACTGGACTTCGCCCCCCAGACTCTGGGTTTTCCGTATGTCCGAGATGACCTGTCTCTCTATGGCGCATCCCCAGGACTGGGAAGTGTACCACCTCCCCAGAACAGTGCACATCCTGTGCCACAGCCCAGTGCCTTCCAGCGGGTGTGCCAGCCTCTGCCAGCTAGCCGGATGTGCTCCGACCCTGTGAGGCCTGCAGAGAAGCCAGCACAGGAAGCTGAGGAGAAGACGTGGCTGCCCAGCTGCAGGAAAGAGCAGCCCCAGCCCCGGTGTGAGGAGCACCTCGGGCCCATTGTTATCCGGGACAGCCCCATTCCCCAGACCTCACCAGCACTGCACACATGTACCCAGGAGCACCAGCCTCACCCACAGAAGGAGAGTGCCAGGCCGCCCAGCTCTCCGCCAATGCCCATCATTGACAACGTCTTCAGCCTGGCCCCCTATCGTGACTACTTGGATGCGCAGACCCCTGAGGCCACACCTGAGCCGGTGGAAGCCATAGCTGAGCTGGCCGAGGGCACAGCCACCAGCAAGAGCCAAGATGAGGGCTGTAGGGGGCCCTTGCCTGCCACAGAGGGGTCCTCAGGGCTGCACTGCTCTCTCCACGAGGAAGTTGCCCTGGACTTGAGTGTGAAGAAGTCCCTGGCAGAGACTGCCCCTGTCAAGTCCCCCGGTCCTGCAGTGCAGCCCAACCCTGCTGCACCTATGGATGGGACAGCGGTGGGGACCACAGTGTCAGGTTTGCCAGCCCTGAAGAAGATGGTCACGGAAGTACCCAGGACACCAGTGACCATGGAGGCCATGCCAAGGAGCAGCTTCCTAGGAGCACCTGAGATGCCAGCGACCATAGAGGCCACGCCGAGGACTAGCTTCCATAGCTCTGTGGCCTTCATGTTCCGGAAGTTCAAGATGCTCCGCCCAGCACCCTTGCCTGCAGCCATGGACCCGTCCACACCCACCCCACCTCCAGCCCCCCCCCAGCCCACTGTGTCCACCCCATCCCCTGTACCCATGGGGCTGCAGCTTCTTACCCAGCCCTTGCCAGTGGCCTGCTTCAACTTGGCCCTGCCCAGTCCCCCAGCCTCCACCCCCATCCCCACTCCATCCCCTGCCCCTGTCCCTCCCCTGCCCCCTGCCTGTGGCCCTCTCCCTGCCCCTGCCCCTGCCCCTGCCCCTGCCCCAGCCCCAGCCCCAGCCCCAGCCCCAGCCCCAGCCCCAGCCCCAGCCCCAGCCCCAGCCCCAGCCCCAGCCCCAGCCCCAGCCCCAGCCCCAGCCCCTGCCCCAGTCCCGGTTTCCACAGGGGCCCCAGCAGACTCTACAGAGCAGCACTTTACAGGGCTGCACACATCCCTGTGTGATGCCATCTCGGGATCTGTGGCCCACTCTCCACCTGAGAAGCTACGTGAATGGCTGGACATGGCTGGGCCATGGGGCCGGGCCGCATGGCAGGACTGCCAAGTTGTACAGGGGCTGCTGGCCAGGCTGCTGTCCCAGCTGCAGAAGTTCGTGTGCACACAGCAGTGTCCCTTCCCCCATGTGGTACGGGCAGGTGCCATCTTCGTGCCCATCCACCTGGTGAAGGAGCGGCTCTTCCCGAGGCTGCCGCCCACCTCAGTAGACCATGTGCTGCAGGAGCACCGGGTGGAGCTTCGCCCCACTACACTGTCAGAGGAGCGCGCGCTGCGGGAGCGCGCCTTGCAGGGCTGCACCTCACGCATGCTGAAGCTGCTGGCCCTGCGCCAGCTGCCTGACATCTACCCTGACTTGCTGGGCCTGCAGTGGCGCGACTGCATCCGCCGCCAGCTGGGTGAGCATGGGCAGCCCTAGTAGCCACCAGAGCTGTGTGACAAGTATCAGGTGTGTGCACAGTGTGAGTGGGTTACGGCGGGTGGCTTGTTCCAGGAACTCGTGCCAGGGTGGGCACTAGGAACCCCTCTTCCTCTAGACCCTCCAGAATCAGTGAGTGTTCTGAATGGAGACCTTCCTGGCCCTTCCTGGTGCAGCCCCTTCCTGGATGCCCTCTTCCTCCTTCCCTCTTCCTCTCTTTGGTATGGGCTTCTCCTTTAGCATCCTAGGGCTCCGCTGTGGCCTGTCTTCTACCTTGCACATGTCTTTGTACAGCCTGGCCTCCCCTCTCCTGAACTCGCGCTCCAGATAACCCACTTCCGGCTGGACTCTTAGTGCCTGGTGTTTCCACCCAGTGCACACTCCTGGCTTCCACTCTAAGTTCCTTTTCACCCCTAATCTGCATCCCAGTGAGGAGTGACCATCCCTAGCACTTGCAGGCACAGAATATCCCCCAGGAGTCCAAGGATTGTTTGTAGTTTGCTTTCCCTACCCTAAGTGACAGGCAGCACCTGTTCTTGGCTGGCTTCCTTTATATCCATGTGGTCACACAATGGCTGTGATGTAACTCAGTGTGGACACTTGGGCTCCTTCAGGCCAGCCTTAGGGAAGGGTGGTATTAGTGTGCCCATACTCAAGGGCTTGTGCCCCTCTGTTGCCCTGGCCCAGCCTGTGTCCAGCTGTTTCCCCACAGAACCTGGTCTCCTCCCCTGGCAGTGGCCTTGCCCTGGGCCCTCCGCCCAGTCAGGGTGGAGTGAGGCCTGGGGTGGTATGTGCAGCTGGGGTCTGGCTGACCAGAATTCCTGACTCTGGACACTTCCTTTGGGTCAGGAATCCCAGTGAGGTGGGGCGCCTGCCACTGGCTGGGTCTTGTGCCTCCCCCTACTCCCTCCCTGAGCCACAGGTGCCCCTAGGGAACACTCCCTGTTGCTGTTTCTTCTGGGGTCCCCTGTTCCCTTGTGGCCAGCTCCCTGGTGCGCACTGAGCTCATAGCTGGGCCCCCTGGTCTCCTTGTCCCTCATCCTGCTGGGCTCTGGCTTTTGTTGGGTCCTGGGGCTGGTATGGCAGAAGGATGATGGTTCTCCCATATGCCAGGACTCACACATGCCTCAGTTTCCCCGCCTGTACAATAGGCTTTGTGCTTGGTCAGTGGTTCCTAACCTGCCGGGTGCCTTTCTTGTCCTTGGTCCCAAACACCCTCTCCTGTCTGGGCGCTCATCTGATGGGTTCTGGTGTTTCCTGGGAGGAGCAGGGCTTGGGAGGAAGGGCTATGTGACCCTCTGTGGCATCCTGGCTGGTGACTAGAGACTGAGAGGCGGTATGCAAGGTCTGTAGCCTGACTTTGTTCATTTTCCAGGTGACCTCGGTACCAAGGCTGGAACTGTGTCCCTTTCAGAGTCCGTGGTGGCCAGAGATGAGCCAGAGAGCCCAGCCCTGGCTCCGAAGTCGCCAGTCCTCAAGGTCAGGAGACCTGGGAGGAAGCCACCAGGAAGCCCTGGCCCAGAGAAGACAGAGGCACCTGCTGAGGGAGCATCGAAGGGTCCCTCCCCTGCCCCTGCTGCTAGTGCCAGCCCACCAGGCCCCACCCTGAGGGCCCGCTTCCGTACTCTGCTGGAAGCCGCTTGGCTCAATGGCCTGGCACTGCCCACATGGGGCCACAAGACTTCGGGACCTGACCGGCCCCCACCCTGCCCACAGCTGCTGGGCAGCCAGAGCCATCCCCTGTAGCGCTGGTCGAGAGTGCTGTTGCGATGGCCACCTGTCCTATGAGCATCCTCAACCCTCACTGGGCCACCAGCTGGGCTGTGAGCTCTGAGGTTCTGACCTGAAGGTCTTTACTGGGAAGGACTTCTTGTTCCTCTTTCCTGGAGAAGGCCTGGCTGCTGCGTCCCTCCCTGGTGACCTGGGCAGAAACTCCACCTCTGTCCAGCCCCCATTTCCTATTTGTAAAATAGGACAGCACAGCCTACCTCGCAGGGTTGTTGGGTGGCATGGCACCCATGTGATGGGGTCTCTTCCCCTGGCCCAGGACAAGTAGGAGGCAGAGGTGGCAGAACCTCCTTGGAGAAAGTCCCTGTGTCTCCAGACTTGGCTGTCCTTAAGTGGCACCTTGTACAGTGTAGATGACTTCATGCTTTTCCCCAGCACTGCAGCAGGGTCACAGCTCAGCCTGGTGCCAGCTTCTCTCTGGGCCTGCTGCCCCATATCCGGGAGACCCCAGGCCAATCCCCAATTGACTGACTTCCTGAGCTGCCTCCCCCACCTCAGGCCTTGTCCCAGGAATGTTGTTTTTTGGAATCTGCCAAGTAGCTGCAGGGACTCAAGGACCAGAGCAGACAGGCTGAGTGGCAGCTGAGTCTCAAGATCTGGACTGAGGACCCTGGTCCTCCCTGTCACAGCATTGTCAACCAGGTCTGCTGTGGGCCACCGCCCTGCAGGTGCTGCTCTGAGCTGCGGGCTGGCAGACTGGGCCCTTTTGCCTTATTTAAGGGTTTGGGGTGCACCTGAGGGCTGGGTTATTAAAGCATTTGAGTGGTTTTGGAGCTGGGACCTGGCTGTGTGTTTGAGGGGTTGTGGGTCCTTGAGACGCCCCATGGTCCTGGCCACTGTGAGTCTTATAACCCAGTAACAAATAGTGGTCATCATGCCACAGGCTCGACTTTCAGGACGAGGATGTCTGCCAGTCTGGAACTGTCCCCTCCCCCAGACACCCTGTGGGCCCCTGCGCCCAGGCAGCACCAGTGGCTGCCTGCAAGATGCTTTCCCAGCAGTCCGCTTGGGCTGGTGTCAAGGCTCTGCAGGCCTGAGTTCGTTCGAGCAGGGCCAGGACTTACAGTGGCAGGTGCCTGAGGCCGAGTGGCCCCAGAGTCGGCTTCAGACCCCACTGCTTCCTCCTGGACTCTCCTCCCCTTCATTTACACCCACAGATGACAGCCTAAACATGTCTAGAACTAAGAGCAGTTTCTATGCTGTCTCAGTGCTCCCTGCCTTTTCTATACCCCAGAGGACCAATGTGAGCATCTTAGCAAGGCTGACAACTTTTCCTGCCCCTCTGGACTGAGACCCTGGGCCCCTCCTAGGGATGCAGGCATCCTGAGGAACCTAGGGGGCACAGGGCTGCCGGCCCCCCACCCACTGGGCAATGGTACCTACTTCCAGGCCTTGCTGCCCCAGTGTAGCTCCCTCCCCATAGGGTGAGAGCAGGGGAAAGGTAGGGAGCGTCATTCCCAACTCCAACCACCAGCGGGCAGGACAGGGACCCTGAGGTTCAAGGTCAGCTGGCCTCCCCGGCAAGGTGACAGCATGCTGCTGTCCTGGGGGAGTCCACGTCTGGGTGTTCCAGGAGGGAGGAATTCCCTTGCTGTGTGACTGAGCTGGAGCCTTACCCTCTGGTTCCTTACCCTCTGGTTCCTGGGAAAGGCAGAGGTGCTGGGACTCAGGGCTCACTCCCAAGAGCAGCAGGAGGCTGCGGGACTGCAGGCAGGGGAACGGGTGCGCGGAGAAACCATCTGGGCGGGGCCTGGGCGGAGTCAGGTTATAGGTGGAGTCCGGGCTATGGGTGGAGCCATGGCCTCTCTGGCCCAATGGGTCGATGCAGGCCCAGTTGAACCCATCCAGTTGCGTTCCCAGGGTCGAATCTAGGTTGATGGGAATGATGTGCCCTTTGCTGCTGGGTGTGTTGGCGCATGCCTGTAATCCCAGCACTCTGGAGGCTGAGGCAGGAGGATCGCCATGAGTTCGAGGCCGGCCTGGGCTACACAGTGAGTTCAGCCTGATAGTTATCGAGACTGTATCTCAAAAAAAAAAAAAACAGGGCCAGGGGTTTAGCTCAGTGGTTCCACCACCTGCCCCCCAAGTGCAGGGTACCAAGTTCGATCCTTGGTACCAAAAAACAAAAAAACCAGAAGACTGATGCACCCTTTCCTGAAGACTTGTGGGCTCTGAATAGTGCAGCCAGGAGAAAGCAAAGCCAGCTCCCCAAAGGTGAGTTGTGGATACCCCACAGGCTGCCCTTAGGAATCCAGTGGGCCTCTGGCAGGGACAGCTCAAGCAGGTCCACCCAGCCAGCCTGCAGTGGTTGTGAGCTCCGAGATGCTGGTCTGGGCAACACTGAGAAAAACAGCCTTGGCTGCATCACAAGGAGCAGAGCTCTGAGAGAGGAAGGTGACAAACCTGAGGACTCCTGAAAGCCTGAAGGAGAAAGATCCACTGGCCCCGTTCTTTGGAGGCAGGGGGCTGGCAGGGGAAGTCCAGGAAGAGACCTGGACACAGCAGGTTTAGGATCCAGAATAACTCCTCCTTCTGTGACCATCCCAGGGGCGGGAACATAAGACTTCTGTTGAGGCCCTGGGCCAGGAAGTCACAGGAAGGAAACTTCAGTTCATTAAATGGGAAAACTTCCTAACCAGCTGGAGCTTGGATAGTGAGCTCCCAGTCACTGGGAGTATTCAAGCTTCTAAATCCCTGCACCGGGAAGAAGTTACCTAGAGGCTTCTGGGTCTGCTCATTGTCAAGTGGGGCAATGACAACGTGGACCTTCTGGACCTCTCATGAAATCACAGAGCTGTTGATCCAGGTCCTCTTTCCCCAGAGATTTGAAAACAGAGCCCAACCCCAGGGGACTGGCGTCTATTAACAGGTCATTTCCACCCCATCCTGCCACCTCTGCCTCCACCTCCCCTGTCCCATGGTGTAGTGGAATCAGACTCAGGCCACTGAGGTCGCACAGCAGAGATACCTGCTGGTCCTGGATGTGGCAGGGAGCAGGCGAGTCTAGCAGCCAGGGACAGTGTCCTGTGCCACATCCACTCACCTGAGCTCCAGGATGTCAGTGCCCTTAAAGCCAGGGAAAGCCTCACAGTACAGGGGCAGGAGCTGAGGACCAGGGCCTGAGGCCACCCGCAGCCTCAGGCTCTCTCCTGCCCAATCCGCCCCCTTGGGGCACCTTGTCACTTGGGGTCCTGGTTCGTGCTCTCTCTGCTCCCTTCCCTTCACCCCAGGTCACCTGCCCCTCTCTCAGGAGGGTTTCCTCTGGGCCACCTTCACACAATGGGAATCTGCTCAGCCTGCCTGTATCTTCTCCCGTGTTTCTTTCAAATTAGCAGAGTTTTAGGGCTGGCGATTTAGCTCACTGGTTCTGCTGCCTGCCTCACAAGCATAAGGTCCTGAGTTCAATCCCTGGTACCCCCCCCCAAAAAAAAATCAGATTAGAGTTTTGTTTTGGTACTGGCGATCGAACTTGGGACCTTGCACTTGTGAGGCAGGCGGTGGAACCACTGAGCTAAATCTCCAGTCCCCCTCCCCTTTGTTTAAACTTTTTTTGTTGTTGTTGTTGTTTCTTTGAGACAGGGTCTCACTATGTAGCCCAGCCTGGCCTTGAACACATGGCAATCCTCCTGCCTCAGCCTCCTGAGAGCTGGGATCACAGGCGTGCACCACCAGACCCAGCTGCTTTTTCTTTTTGTTTTTTGTTTTTTTTGAGAAGGGATTTTGCTAAATTGCCCAGGCAAAGTGGGCTGGAATTTGTAATTTCCTGCCTCAGCCTCTCAAGTGCGCATCCAGGCCAGCTTGTCCCTCCTTTTCCCTAGCTTGTCATGTGGCTGCAGTGACACCCCATCATTCCTTCTGTTTGTCTCCCTGTGCAGACAGAAGCCCACCCGAGGACAGGAGCCTTGATCCTCCAACCCTTAGTGGGCACCAAGTGATTGTAAAGAACCTAAGAACCGCATGAGCTGAAGGAACCAAAGAACGATGGACAGTGGTTCGGCGCTCCCCCTGGCGGACAGATATGGAATGGCACCGCACCCAAGGCGCCTCTGCTGCCCAGGGCTGCAACCGAGGCAGCAACAGTGCCTGGCTCTGCTGGCGCCAGGGACCAAGGGTTCCTGATGCAGCCTTGGGCCACACAGAAAAACCCTCCTCTGGCTGCCAGGTAAGCTCTCCACAGCTGGGAGGTTTTCCCCCGTGGATCTCCTTGGTTTTCTGCTTCCCAGGTTCCCCCTGCCCAACCCACCTGTCCCTGGGGGAAGAGAAACCCTAGCCAGACTGGGGAGAGTTTGGTAGCTGGCCCTGGAGTACTCAGCAAGGAGGTAGGCCAGGTGGGGCCCAGAGAACCCCGAGTGAGGGCAGGTGCCCACTCAGCTGCCACATGCCCCAGGGTCTCAGGGCTGCAGAGAGTGGTGAAAACCTTACTGGTGACCCTGAAGGTCACAGTGTGCTGTGTGCCCAGATCCCAAGGTGGAGGACACAGCCCTGCACAGAGACTGCCTGGCCAGGGAGGGGGAAGGTGGCAAGCTGGTGGGGTCAGCACCCCCAGGGGTCCTCAGGGAGCCAGAGATGGGGAGGCCTCGGCCTGGATGTGGCCACCCCCTGATGCAAACAGGAGCCCAGCACTGGGGGTTCCAGATGTGGGTACAGATGTGGAGAGGGTAGAGGGAGTGGCAGCTGGCTGCTGTTCTGGTCTGGAGGTGACAGGTGTCCTCAGGGTTACAGAGGCAAGAGCATGCATGGTCACAGATAATGCAGGGGCCTTGCTGGACCTCTGCCCTAATACATGGGCAGGAGAAGTCCAGGTGGGTGGCATGGCAGTGACCTTCTAGAACCCAAGGGCGGACATCTCTTCCACAGATCCAGCCACATAGGATGTGGGATGGGACCTGGAGGTCCTGTGGTCTACAGCCTCAGTGGGTATGGCTGGGCCTGGGCCAGGTGTGGACCTGCCCAAGGTCCCAGCAGTCCCTAAGGGGCAAGCATGGTGTCCAGCAGGCTGTTTCCTGGCTGGTGCCCTGGGGCAAGTACAGGAGGTCACACAGAGACCAGCCCTGGCCTGGGGATGGAGGGGACATTGTGCATACCCAAGAGTGTGTGGCATGAATTGAAATGCTTCACAGCTGCCTCAATGTCCTGCATCAATTCAAAATGTTTTCCTGTCATGGTCATTTTGACTTTGGGGAAGAGCCAGAAGTCCCGTGATGCCAGATCTGGTGAATAAAGTGGATGAGGAAGCACCACCGTGTTTTTACCAGCCTGCATTGCTCTTGGCTAGTACTGGGTGTCCTAAAGAATCCACTTATCAAAAACAGGCTTTTGACAACACAAGCTAAACCTCACCTAGCACCTGTTTCAGTTTCATGGCTCTTGCCTGATCTTTGAGAATTCCATATATACTTGTGCCCAGATTTTGAAGGTACTGGCCATTCTGTAGATGCAGTGATTGTCCCAACTAGCTCTGTTATCAACCTTTGGTGTCTTCAAAGTGTTCATTTGGAAAGGCAGGCTAAAGACATGGATGTAGCACTTCTGCTTTTAATAACTGCAGATTACAGACTCTCCAGTAGTATATAGTGGTTCTTACAAGGGACTTGAGGAAGCTCTTGAGGAAGCTTCTCCGGATTACTGAACTTTTTTCCATCTAATGAGATAGTGTAGCAGTTTTTCCCTAGTCTGGTATGTTTGGTTCAGTAGAAAGATTTCATAGTGGTAGTGACCACTTGCTGCAGAGTCTGGATTTCTCTATAATAAATCCCTTTGCAAAATGCAGGAGTTGCAGACATGCTACTGGCAAGAGTAAAGCAATAAGTAAAACTATCCTGGTGTTGGGGGCATTTTCTTGTAGGATTTCAGTCTTGACGAACATGCTGGTGCAGGAATCGGACTCCTAGGAGGGTCACACACAGTGCCTCCTGACAGCCCCTGCTGGCCACTGTGGGCAGTAATGTTGTCATTATTTGAGGTGGCAGGTATGGTGTCTGCCTTCTGGTATATTTGGGTAAGTAGCTGAGCCAGCGAGAGGAGTTTGGATGATTAAGTGAAAAATAAGAGATTCTTGGTTAAGCTGAAGACTTCATTTGGGAACCAAAAACAAGTAATCTCTTGGACCTTGAGTCACATATTTTTCTTGAAAAGTATGGATTGTCCCACAAAATTTTGTTGGGGGTTATATTATTGAGAGGTGGAGTGAGATGAATATGAGGTTTTATTTAATGGCACACTGTACTGGAAATCTGAAGACCTATAGCAGATTTAAATTCCAGCTCTTGTTATAATTTTTTAAGATTGTGAAATTATATAGAAATAAAAATAAAAAAAGATTGTGAAATTACATAATGCACATGAATCAAGTTTTAAATACTGTATGATGGGTGGGTGAGGCACTCCACTGTACCATTTCTTTTTTTTTGATTCTCAGGCATGGTTTGGCAGTGCAAGAACTCTGTAACATTAACAAATTCAATAAAAAGTAAATAATAATAAAAAATAGGCTTTTGAAAGTAAAGTTTATTTCAGTTAACAGACTAAAATCCGGAGATTCTACCAGGTAGCTAGGAAAAGCCAAGTTTATCACATTCATGTGTGGATAGGCTGACATTAGGAGAGAGAAATAGTTGCAGCTAGCTGGGAGAGATTTCATCCCTGAGAGGATGGGCTAACACTAACTAGGAGAGAGATATTAGCAACTAACTGGGAAAGGAATTAGGCTTATATAATTTTGAAGGGGCAAAGGAATCTGGGGTGAAATATTTATGACTTAGATACCCAAGGATGGTCTGCTCAGGTGTGTACACAATTACTGGACTTCTCAGCGCCAGCAGGTTTATATACTACATTTTGAGTCCATTTGCCCAATTTACTGGGAAGCTGTTGTTCTTTGCTAAAAGCAGCCGGTTTTCTTTGCCCTATTTGTTTGTGAAGGACTCGCTTAAGTCAAGTCTGACATTGGGGAGCAGCATTCACTGTATTTTTTTTTTTTTTTTTGGTGCCAGGGATCGATCTCGGGACCTTGCGCTTGCAAGGCAGGCTGCGGCACCACTGAGCTAAATCCCTGGCCCCATTTGCTGTATTTTTTAATCACACCTTGTCAAGACACTCAGGAAAGAGGACTTCCAGACTTTCAGAAAGTGGCAAGAATGATGGGATAAATGTGTTCAAAGTGAGGGGGAGAGTCTGGGCGGGATTCATGGGAATGTATCTTTTACTAACTGTAAATTTTAAAAAATTTAAATATGCACCATATATTTTGATCACACCTTGCATGTTCAATCCCCCCCATATATATATCACAATTCATTAAAGTTCGTATTTATTTTTAAATTTTTGGATTTTTTTTCCAGATGATCTGTGTACCCCAGGCTGACCTCAAACTGATGGTGATCCTCTTGCCTCAGCCTCTGGAGTGCTGGGATTACAGGTGTGCACCACCACTCCCAGGTTTCAATAAGGTTTTTGGGGGTTTTTTTTGTAATAATTTAAGTCTTCTCTTTAATTCTCTTTTTTCAGAAGGTCCCCAAATCACATTTCATTCATTCAACAAATACTCACTGAGGCACCCACTGGAGATTAATGACAGATAGGGTAGCTGGAAATATATGAAGTGGACAGTAATCAAATGATTCAAGCAAATGTAGGCCTGTAACGTGTTATGAGTGTAAGACCGAGGGCTTTACCAAACGCTCCGAGGAGCTGACTATAGTGACGCACACCCAGGAATCCCAGCGGTGCCTTCAGAATGTAAGACCAAGAGCCTTACCAAACGCTCCGAGGAGCTGACTAATGAAGCACACCCAGGAATCCCAGCGGTGCCTTCAGAATGTAAGACCAAGAGCCTTACCAAACGCTCCGAGGAGCTGACTGCAGCAAAGAACACCCGGGAAGGAACACACCAGACAAGTTGGAAAATAAAACAGACCTTTATTAGTCTGGCCAGACGGCACTCCCAAAGCAAAATAGCTTAGAGAGGCAGCTAGCTCAGAGTCCGAGGCTGTTTTTATAGAGGGTTGAGGGGGAAGTTAACATATAGAATTAAAGAAAAGGGAACAAAGGTTAGTGGTCGACTGTCACGTATTGATGGTCAGCAGACTTTTGCAGCTTGTTCTAAAAATTGTGGTGCCCAGAACATCAGTTCCGGGCAAACAAGGAGTTGAGTAGTTTACTTTGGGACTTTAGGTCTGTTACAGATTTATATCTAGTGTCCCAAAACTAACAAGCATCTTTATCCATTAACTCATATTTAATCACAATGGGGCTGGAGAAAAGGAACAAAGGTTATGCAGTCCCACAATGAGTAGCATAATAAAGAAGGCAGACGGGGCTGTAAGAGCCCATAATCGGAGAATCTGACCTTCTATAAGGATTTAAAAATATGTCTTTTGAGAGAGAGGGAGGGAGGGTGGGAAGGAGAGAGAGAGTGGGTGGATGTGGGAGGGGGGGGAGGGGGGGGAGGGAGAGAGGAAGAATGAATTAAGAGTAGTGATCTCCTCGGGCGCCCCACCGACTCTACGGCCCCACCTTCCCCTGGAGGAGCAGCAGTCACGTGACCGCCGGGTCACCTGACCGCGCCGGAAGTTGCCGCCCGCTCCCTCCTGGCGCCATGGTGAGGATGGGACGCAGAGTGGAGCTCGGGTCAACGGGTTGGGGAGCACAGAGTCGGGGCGATCGGGAGGACGGGTTGCCCTGAGACCCCCGGAGCGAGGCGTCGCAAGGCGCCCGCTTCTGGCCTCCCCTGGGGTCCCCGGTGCCCGCTTCCGGAAGCCCCACGCTGTCAGAGCAGGAAGCAGCTTTGCATGGGCTGCTCGGTGCACCCGCCTTGCCCTCCTGCACGGAAGGGACCTGCGGGCTCGTCTGCGCCAGGCCCAGTATTTCAGCTGAGGATCAGAGGGGAAGTCAGAGCTTGCACCCGGGTCAGATTTAAGACTCCAGCCGGGTGTGGTGGTCCATGCCTGTGGTCCCCGCACTCTGGGAAGCTGAGGAAGGAGAATCAAGAGTTCACTGCCAACCCTGGCAATTTGACAAGACCCTGTCTCAAAATAAAGGGATAGGGACGTAGCTCAGTGCTAAGGCTCTGAGTTCAATCCCCCTACTCCAAAACAAGACAAGAAAGCACTCCGGGAGCAGAGGCCTAACTTGTCTTTGTGTATGTTGGGTTCCTAAGGGTACATCAATGAGGAGGGAGCAGAGGACAGGATGGCTGGGTGAGGCACAGTCCCTACCCAGGCTTGGGGCAAGGGTGGGAGGTAGTGTGCACACCCTGGGGGACGGAACGGAGGCTAGGGAAGGGCAGGCAGGGCAGAGCCCAATCTTGCTGGGCCTGGGCTCACATGATGAAGATAGCGAGCACGCCCACTGGCCCCCAGAAGGGGGCGCTTTAGAAAGTGGACCTGGAAGGGCCCATCTGTTGAGGCCTTTAAGCAAAGGCCTGAAGAGGGTGAGAGGGACAGCAAGGACACAGACAGGAGCAGCACTGGTGAGCAGGACAGCAGTGAAGTGGTGTGGCTGAGCCTCAGCAGGGATGGGGCAGAGGGGAGAAGGATCCCCTGGGGCATTGTGTTCCCACTGTGCAGCGCTTGGGATGAGTCTGCTGTGGGGAAAGCACATGGTTGGCACCAGCTGGCAAATTGGGGCCTATAGCGGACATCAGAGCATGGTCTGGTGGCTGTGGTCAGGGAGTGTTCTCTCTAAACAGCTGGGTGATGGGGAGAACAAGTCACCCAGGGTGACTGCCTGGGACATGGGTCCTGGCCACACCTCAGCTTTCTGCAGCCTGACTGCTTGCCTCACTCCTTGCAGAGGTTCCGGTTCTGTGGGGACCTGGACTGTCCCGACTGGGTCCTGGCGGAGATCAGCACGCTGGCCAAGATAGTTGAGTGCATGGGTCCATGTGGGTTGGGGGGATGGTGAGGTCACTCAGCTGTTCCCATCCTCTGTGACCTGGTCACATGGCTGCCCTCTCTGACCCTGTCCTCAACACTGAGGACCAGGCGGCTTGGTCTGGGTGACACAGGGACTTCCTTTCCAGTCCTCTGTGAAGCTGAGGCTGCTGTGTAGCCAGGTGCTGAGGGAGCTTCTAGGACAGGGGATTGACGTGAGTATAGGGCCTGTCACCCTGCTGTCCTGTGGCCTTCCCAGACACCTCATCCCTCCCAGTAGCCCAGTCCATTCCTCACACAGGGTCTAGGCTGGGGTCATGTGGCTGGTGGTCCTGTACCCACTCAGTGCCTCCTTTCCCCACAGTATGAAAAGATCCTGAAGCTCACAGCAGACACCAAGTTTGGTGAGTAGCTTGCTGTGTCACACATCCTGGGTGACTGGGTCCCCTCCTCCCCAGAGCCTCCCTGCATCCCCTGCCTTAATAGAGGAGCAGGCCGGACAAACCCCCGACAGGGCCGCCTGCTCCTCTGCCAGCTCCGAGGGAACAGTTGTGCCTGTGGCTCAGGGAGGTGGCTGTGGCTGCAGTGACACCCCTTACCCTGTTCTTCAGAGTCCGGTGACGTGAAGGCCACAGTGGCAGTGCTGAGCTTTATCCTGTCCAGTGCGGCCAAGCACAGCGTGGACGGCGAGTCCCTGTCCAGTGAACTGCAGCAGCTGGGGCTACCCAAAGGTGGGTAGGGGACAGCAGGTGGGACCTGGGGTAGGGGCTGCTGGCGGGAGCTAAACTGTGTGGCCCTCGCTGGGATCCACCACCCAAGTGCACTCCTGCCCACAGAGCATGCAGCCAGCCTTTGCCGCTGCTACGAGGAGAAACAGGGTGCCCTGCAGGAGACCCTGCGTGCCTGTAGCCTGCGTGGTGAGTCGAGGCTGGGGTGTGCATGTGTGCTTGTGTGTGCAAAGTGCCTCCCCTGGACCCGAGTCTCCAACTGAGTCCGGGTTTCTGCTCTCTGAAGCCTGTTCCTAAGCACCTGCCCTGTGCCCGGCCTGGGAAAAGGCCACACGGTCTTGAGGGTTGCAGGCCAGGCCAGACAGGGACTGGGACAGGACCACCTGCCTGAGTGTCCCCTGTGCCCTATCCCCTTCGCAGTGAACAGGCTGGTGAGCGTGGGCTGGCGGGTGGACTACACCCTGCGCTCCAGCCTGCTACGCTCTGTGGAGGAGCCCCTGGTACACCTGCGGCTAGAGGTGGCAGTGGCCCCTGGTGCCCCGGCCCAGCCTGTGGCCATGGCCCTGTCAGCAGACAAGTTCCAGGTCCTCCTGGCAGGTAAGGCTCCACTGCACTGGGGGGTGTGCGGTCCCTTACATCTCTCTGACCGCCTCTGGCCATTTTTTCCCACAGAGCTGAAGCAGGCCCAGGCCCTGATGAACGCCTTGGGCTGAGGAGGAGGAGGAACTCAGCTGCCCTTCTGTGTCAAGCTGCTGTCCCTTGACTTCAGGGGTCATTTCTGGCCGAGGGTGGGGGTGGGGCTGGCCAAAGCCTCCTGAATCCACTGGCTGGCTTCCCACTCTTGAGTTCAGCAGGGGCTCCTGAGAGCCTTTCCTGCATTGCCTCCCTCCCCTCAAAACAGAGGAAGAATAAAAAGAGCATAAAGGAGTGTGTGGGGTCTCTTTCTGGTTTCTGATCAAGGGTTTCTGTGAGAGAGACCAAGTGACATTCCAACCTCCCTGCCTGTAACTTCTTTTCTCAACTGCTGAGGGAGGCCAGAAACTATGGCCCATCCACAGTAGGAGGCCAGGTAACAACTGTAAATACCTATGCACTGAATACTGGTCACCCAGTTTCATAAAACAGAAACTACTGGACTTAAAAGCAGGAAACTTTAATACTCTGTTCTTGAAATTGAGTCAGCCAGAGAGAAATCAACGAACATCAGTTAAACCACACCACTGAACAAATGGACTTAACAGATACCAACAAAGGGTTTCATCCAACAATGATAGAATAAACATTTTTGTCAGCAGCACATGGAACTTTTTCCAAAATAGACCATATCTTCATGAGGCCATGAAGCAATCTTAAAAACAAATACAAAAGAACAGAAATAATCCCCTGCATAGCATCAATCATAGCAGAATGAGGCTAGAAATCAGCAGCAAAAGAAGCCACAGAAACTGTAAACACATGGAGATTAAACAATATATTATTGAATAATCAGTGGATCAGAGAAATCTGAATGATTCTAATTCATAGAATCAAATGACAAAGAAAACACAACATGCCAATTCCTATGGGATGTGATGAAAGCACTTCTAGGAGGTTTAGAGCTGTAGAGAGAGCCCAAAAACCCAACAGTGCAGCTCAAGGCCTTAGACGTACAATCTGAGTCAGAAACAAATTATGAAGAGCAGAGCAGAAATTAATGAAATTGAGATTAAAATAATACAAGGGATCAGTGAATCATCAATGAGTTGGCTCTTTGATGGGCTGGGGATTTAGCTCAGTGGTACCAAGCCTGCCTCGCAAGTGCAAGGTCCTGAGTTTGATCCCCGGTACTGAGAAAAAGAAAAAGAGTTGGCTCTAGGAGGGCAGAGAGGGAAAGAAAAAGGATCAAGATGCAGAATGTATATGCTGCAGTTCCACCATGGTGAGGGTATCTACTATGTATCACAAATGTCCTAATAAGAAATTGAGAAAAAAACATGCCATTACATGAAAAAAAAAACCCACAGCGAGTCCTGTCTCATCACATGCATTCACACTTGTTGGTTCCGGGGCAGTGTCCCTCCTCTGGTATCAGAATCCCAGCTACTCTTGGTGGTCACAGCCCAGCACATCCTGATCAGTGTTTAGTCATTTGTCTCCTTAGGAGCCTGAGCTTATGGATAGAAACTGTTTCCCTGTGTACATCTCACCTGAGAGCCTAATAAAAATTCTTTCAATAGATGGGCAGTGGGGAGATAAGGACTGGATGAATTTAAAGATGTTGAATGTAAAAAATTCATGAGCCCAAGCAAGGCATGCCGGTGCACACCTGTTATCCTAGCTATTTGGGAGGCTGAGGCAAGAGGTCTGCAAGTTCAAGGCCAGCCTGGGTAACAGTGAAACCCTGCTCGAGGATGGGGTGCTGCCTGCAAGGTGCCTGGGCAAGTTGGGGATGTGAAGTATGCTCTCTACACTGTGGCGAGATCACCTCTTAGTGCCGTGTGGTGCAGTGTGTAGGTGTTAACTGCAGATGCAGGGTGTGCTGCAGAGCTCTGCAACTGCACAACTGAAGCTCAGGAGCAGCCCCTGCACCCCCTACCTGCCCATCCTGAAAACCCTCATTCTGCTCACTGCTTTGTTTTTGTTTTTTGGTACCGGGGACTGAACTTAGGTCGTTGTGCTCGCGCAGCAGGCGGCGAAACCACTGAGCTAAATCCCCCGCCCACTGCTTTGTTTTTTGAGACCGAGTCTCAATACATAGTTCAGGCAGGGCTTGAACTTATTATGTAGTCCAGGCTGGGCTCCAACTTGTGGCAATCCTCCTCCCTCAGCCTCCCAAGTGCTGGGACTATAAGTGTGAGCCACCATGCCCAGCTCATACCCCTGATTGTGGCAACAGTTGCACTATGTACTTATCAAAAGTCATATTCTAAAGCTGGGTGTGAAAAAAAAAGCAGTGATGGAGATAACAGGGCTAGGGATTTAGCTCAGTGCCTCAAAAGCAAAAGGACCCGAGTTTGATCCCTGGTACCAAAAACAACAACAACAACAAAAAAAAAACAAAAGCAGTGATGGAGATAAAGCTGGGTGTGGTGGTGAATGCCTATAATCCCAGCATTTTGGAAGGCTGAAGCAGGAAGATCACAAGTTCAAGCCAAGCCTGGAGAATTCAGTGACTTAGCAAGATTCTCAAAATAAAAAATGAAAAAAGCTGAAGATGTAGCTTAGTGGAAAGCCCTGAGTTCAATCCCCAGTACCACTAAATTTTAAAAAAAGAGGAAAAAACCACACTCTAAACGGGTGAATCACATTATATGTAAATTACATCTTAATTTAAACGCTAAATGAGAACAAGAAAAAGAAATCACTCCACAGGTTATTTAGTGGTTACAAGATGTGACTCGTAACTTTTGCAGCATCTGCCTTGAGTCGCACTAAAGCAGAATCAGCAGCTATCGAGTCAGCATCTAGGAGACATCGCTGAATACGCAGGACCCAGCACTCAGACCTCATTCCATGTACAGGACCCAGTTATTGGTGCCCTGAGGACACATTCACACAAACCGGAACGTGACAGAGCAGCTGTCTCAAGGGACAACTCGCTTGGACTCCTCAGAAAGGTCAGTGTCAAGGTATAAAAAAAAATGTGAGATGGGTAGGATGGGTGATTCCACTGAGAGTAAATGATTAGAGGAATATCCTTACGTTGAATAAACCAGCTGTAACAAATGTTTTGGTCTGGGTGTGACGGCACATCTCTGTACGCCCAGCTAAACAGAAGGCTGAGGCAGGAGGATCACAAGTTGGATCTGTTTCAAAATAAAATATTAAAAACAAAAAAAAGAGGACTGGGGAGAAAAAAAGGATTGGGGGTGTGGCCCATTGGGGATTTGCATAGCATTTCAAGGCCCGGGTTCAACCCGGGAGGTGGGGTTGTCTTGGGGAAAGGAGGGGAATGTAAACGTGGACTAGGAATTAGATAGCATTGAGAAGTCATTGCTAACTTTATTAGGCTTGCTAAAGGTATTGTGGGTTTTTAGAGATGCTGACGTGTTGGAGATAAAATGTCATTATTTGTCTAAAATATTTCTGCTAAGATAAGTGAACAAGTGGATGAGGTGGGGGGACTAGTAGTAGGAAGTCGGGCAAATCACTTCTGTGGACAAGTGCCACTGCCGGCTGCATTTGGAAAATTAGAAAAATTTAAAAATGCAACTCCTGTCCTCACCACCTAAACCTGCCGTGGGCGACACTGCAGCCACACAGGACTGGTCGCTGTCATCCAGCTGCCCCTGGGGCTCTGCACTGGCCCTTCGTTGTGCTGGCATGGTACCTTTCCAGTCTATGCCAGCTTCTGTGCTGGTTTTGTTCCTGTGACTTGACCTAAATGTGACCACAGACAACTCCAGCAACAATTGGTAGTGGAGTGTTTTTGGGCTCCAGGCTCCTGTGCAAGGTGAACTCCCTACCTGGCAGGCAGTGTGGATGTTTTGTTTGTGTTATGTCTGCGCGGTGACACTGGGTCCCCAGGGGCCGCGCCTACGTGCACCTGTGCCCGCACCTGTGCTGAGGAGGTCGCAGCTGTTTCCTGTTGGGTTGTCACCCCGCCTGGGACCCGCCGCGACTCCCCCACTGCTGCCCGACTGTGACCCGCGGTCTTCCGGAAGGGAAGGCTCGGAAGTCTTCCTTGGGAGTCAAGCCCAGAACAGGCGCCTCCCAAAACTGCACTCTTCTCCCGGCAGCCCTTGCGCTCGGGCCCCGCCCATGAACCAGGGGGCGTAGCCGCGGCTGGCGCGTGGGTGCTGGCCGGGGAAGCTGCCGAGCGAGATCCTGCAGCACCCTTGCCGCAAAAAAGCGGCCCGGCGAGGACTCGGTATCTGAGCGGTCCCTGCTGGCCTGAGCTCGCTCGGGGCGGGTGAGTGGCTTGGGTGAAGAGGGCAGGGCCAAAGTCCCTCCCTCCTCTGGGAGCCCAAGGAGCAGGGCGGCGGGCCGGGTGCACAGGAGTCGCACGGCCTGCAAAAGTCGAGACTTGATCATGCAGCGAGGACAGCAGGCGATGAGCAGGACTGGGGCCACTGCCCCAGCGAAGCCCAGCTCCCCGGGCTGTTGCGCGCTCCGGGTGGGGAGCCACGCACAGCTGGCTCTAACTCTTGTGTCTTTCTCTGCCGAATACAAGTGACAACGGCCACCTCACTGGCGCCACCGGCCCGGCCTGTCGCCCCTTCGCAGGATGCCCGAGGGCCCCGAGCTGCACCTGGCCAGCCGCTTCGTGAACCAGGCCTGCCGCGGGCTGGTGTTTGGCGGGGCGGTGGAGAAGTCTCCCGTCAGCCGCAACCCCGAGGTGCCCTTCGAGAGCAGCGCCTACCGAATCTCGGCCACAGCTCGGGGCAAGGAGCTGCGCCTGACGCTCAGCCCCCTGCCCCGGGCCCAGCCCGTCCGGGAGCCGCTAGCCCTGGTCTTTCGCTTCGGCATGACCGGTTCCTTCCAGCTGGCGCCCGCTGAGGCGCTGCCACCCCATGCCCACCTGCGCTTCTACACAGCCTCCACTGCTCCCCGGTTAGCCCTGTGTTTCGTGGATATCCGCCGCTTTGGCCGCTGGTACCCAGGGGGCGAGTGGCAGCCGGACCGCGGGCCCTGTGTCCTCCTGGAGTATGAACAGTTCAGGTAGGACTAGCTCAGTGTGAGGAGGAATACAATGTTCCCACCCTGGTTCGGCTCCCAGAGCCCGGGGGTGAGGGGAGAGGGCACCACCTGGAAGACAGAACATGGGTAGCAGCTTGTGCCCAGAACACTATCATTTGGGCCGTGGATTTAGCTCTGGTTATGCCGCTTCTCTCTCGAAAGCTCAAGGACTCGAGTTCTATCCCCGGTACCAAAAACCAAAACCAAAACCAAAAACGGAACACCATTGTTTGTTGGTGCTCCCAGGAGGTTAGGAGAGGCGGAGGGTAAGAACCAAGGCTGCAGCCAGGGGAGGCCCACACCTGTAACCCCAGTACTCTGGAGGTAGAGACAGAAGGATCGCTGAGCTCCAGGCTAGCCTGGGCCACTTGAGACCTTGTCTCAACATAAAACTTAAATAAAGAGAGGCTGTGGATGTAGCTCACTGGTAGAGCCTTGCCCAGTATGTGTATGGCCCTGGGTTCAATCCCCGCCCCCCCCCAAAGGCAGCACAGGGATTGTTTCAGAGGGTTACGGAGGGGACTGCTTGATGACAGCTCCTCAATCAGGTTGGATGGTCTCCCATATGCTGCCTGCCCACGAGTTTGTATCCTGCGGTCTCCTCTGTGAGTGTCCCTTGCTGTAGGGGTAGTGACCCACCTGGGGTCTGATGTGGGTCACCTAAGATGACATGGCACCACCAACTTCTTCCCCTCAGAGGGGCATCAGAGCCACTGGTTTGTGCCAGCTTTGCCCTGGGCTGGGTCCCTGCTCCTGCAGCATTACTGTCAGCTGGGGATGGACAGACACAAGATGAACTCAAACATATGAGCTGGAGAAAATCCAACAGGTGAAGGTGCAGAGTGACTTTTGTGGAGTGTGTGGAGGCACTGGGTATGGGTGATTAGGGAGAGACCAAGCCTCGAAAATCTGGGGAGCAGAGGATTCTAACTGGCAAGAGACAGAGGGTTGGCCTTAGCAGATTCTCCTTCCTGGGGGACAAGGTACCTGCAGCCAGCCCCCAGGAGGCTTGGTTTCATCTCTGGCATCACAGAAGTGACTCCTGGCCTGCCCAGGTGTGAACCTGGGTGCACACTCTGGAACGTGTCTGTCCCTGGTCCTGCCTTCTGCCCACCTTACCTTTCTTGGACAGCTAGGAAGAAGGCCTTACCTACCTTCTACAGAACTCGAAGCTGGCCCTGTACAGAGGACCAGGGTCACACTGTAGAACTGGACTGCTGGAAGCTTCTCTCTTAATGTGCAGCTAGGCTGTTTTTGGGGTCTTCCTGCTGGGGAGCCTGTGGGGCCTAAGCAGTACCCAAGGAACCTTCCATTCTCTTTTCCCCAGACCTGGTCCTCTGGCTCCATCACATTCCTCATGCCCTTAACCCAGCCAATCTGCCCTGAAGAATGAAGAAGCAAAATGCTTCTTCAGGGGAGAGGAGCCCTGATTCTTGGAGGTGGTCAGACAGATGACCCTCAGGGCAAGGTCAAACCCACATGGACAGCCTAAGCTACCAGGATCCGTGCAGGGAGCCCTGGATCAGATCCCAGAGGCCCTGTGCTCACTCACCTTGTACTCAGAAGCATCCTGAGCACACAGGCACATCAATTTTTCCCAGCTCCTCCCACCCTGGCCCCAGGGATGGGATACAGGCCTTACACACCCAGGCTGTGTTCCTCAGGGAAAATGTGCTCCGAAACTTGGCAGACAAGGCCTTCAACCGGCCCATCTGTGAGGCCCTCCTGGACCAGCGGTTCTTCAATGGCATTGGCAACTACCTGAGAGCAGAGATCTTGTTCCGGTCAGCAGGCGGGCCATGGGCATGGGCTGAGGGGGAGGTGGGCCCACTGTCAAGGCTCAGTATGACCCCCTTGAGTCCCCTGCCACTTCAGGCTGAGGATCCCTCCGTTTGAGAAGGCTCGCACAGTCCTGGAGGCCCTGCAGCAGCACCGGCTGGTGAGGGCACTAGGGATGTGGGGATGTGGTCTGAGTGTGGGTGTCCCTGGCCTAGCTCCTTGTGTAGGGAGTGGGCAGGATTGGGGAGGGGATGAGCCACCTCGGGGCCCTGCCCCAAGCTGACAGCCAGGTACTGCCTGCTCCTCTCCAGAGTCCGGAGCTCACTCTGAGCCAGAAGATCAGGGCTAAGCTGCAGAACCCGGACCTGCTGGAACTGTGCCACTCAGTGCCCAAGGAAGTGGTCCAGCTAGGTGAGGCCCAGGGAACCAAGAGAGCCTGTGACCTCTACTGTGCAACCTGGGCAGCTGTCCTCCTGGGCCTGGCTCCCCCGCTGGGGGTGCAAGTTCACAGATTTCTTGGCCAGTACCTGCCTCCTCTAGGCTGCAACACAGCAGGCAGGGCCACTGCAGGCTGGGGAAGCCATGGGCCAGAGTGGGGAAGGCACAGCCATGGTCACACAGTGAGTGGCAAGAGGGGACCTTGGCCCCTGACTCAGGCACAGCTGTGTGGCTGAGGTCTGGGCTGGGTTGGACCAGGTCCCACTCTTCCTGCCCAGAGTCTGCCCTCTGACCTTTCAGGTCCCTCTGTCCCACAGGGGGCAAAGGCTATGGGGCGGAGCACGGAGAGGAAGACTTTGCTGCCTTCAGAGCCTGGCTGCAGTGCTATAGCATGCCAGGCATGAGCTCCCTGCGGGACCGGAACGGCCGCACCATTTGGTTCCAGGGGGATCCTGGCCCCCTGGCCCCGAAAGGGGCCAAGTATCGAAAAAAGAAATCCCAGGAAACCCAGCCAGCACCCATGGATGGAATGGAGCACCCTCCACCTCCAATCAAGGCCCCTTCTAAGACACCAGGGACCCAGAGATGCCTTCCTGAGATGACTGCAGCCCAGGAGCCTGAGAGGCCAGGCCTCCAACATGACCCAGGAGCTCCCATAGTCCTTGAGAAAGGGAGGAGACAACAGGCCACCACAGGTGGAGAAAGTGGCCCTTGGGGGCAAGTGGGATGCTCTGCAGGAATGTGTGCACAGAGATGGGTGTGGCAGACCCAGCCTGGGGTCTTAGTACATTATCTCTTCCTCCTCAGGCCGCCGCAGAACCAGGAAGAGGAAGGCTGATACCCCATCTGAGGAGTCTGGGGGCACCGCAGCCTCTTAGCTGGTCTCCTTGCTTTCACTCTTTTTTTCTTTTGGTACTGGGGATTGAACTCAGGTCCTTGTGCTTGTGAGGCAGGTGGCAGAACCACTGAGCTAAATCCCTGGCCCTGCACTCACCCTTTTGGCTGCCTTGCTGGGAGCCTGAGCCTGTCTGAGTTCCTAGGAGCAACTTTGGAAGGGCTACATGGCTGTGACCTGTGGCTGTTTCCTGCTCAACTGTCTTTTTTCTTTTTTTTGGTACCGGGAATCGAACTCCGGTCCTTGCGCTTGCAAAGCAGGCAGCTAAACCGCTGAGCTAAATCCCCGGCCCTGTCATGTTCTTAATTGAACCTCATATTCCACATTTTTTAAGCCCGCATGGAAAATGCAGTATTTTTAAATGAATAAATAAATTTGAACTTTTTGGCTCTTCTTGGGCTGACTGCAGGTCTAGGCTTTATCTATATCTAATCTTGAGGTTGTGCTATGTAGTTCAGGCTGGCCTTGAACTCACTCTGTAGCCAGGCTGGCCTCAAACCTGTGGCAGTCCTTCTGCCTCGGCCTCCCAAGTGCTGGGATTACAGACATGTGCCACCATGCCGGGCTTGATGGCTAGGTTGGAATGAAGCCTGCTGCCCAGCCCTCCCCGGGGACAGGGACACCTCCTTGGCAAGGCAGATGGAATCCCCACCTGTCCTCAAGGCTCTGGCTATTGGAGGACAGCCTGCCCTGGGAGGCAGGTATTGCAGACTAAATGTACAGCATTTAGCCCAGGCTCCAAGCTCCTCCAGGCTAGGTTCTTTCAGGGCCAGTGGCTGCCCCAAACCCTGGCCCCGACTGGTCACAGCTCCTCTCCCATGGGGGCAGTCAGAACGAACCTGTGTGGCCTTCTCCTCAGGGCCTCTGCCTCTTATCTCACAGTCCCTGGCTCTTGGATATTACCCACACCCTGCACACATAAGTAACCTTAGATCTTGCCCTGTCTCCAAATCCCTGGGAAAAAACCCTCCCCTACTTCCCCAAAGGTGAAGAGGGGGCCCGAGGAAAGCCAGCAGGAGCTACTAGCAGGGTTGCTGCTGACTCAAGAATTTATTGTGCCTGAGATGACAGGTCCTTGTTTCAGGTTGGGGAGGTATAGCTGAGTCCCAAAGCCTTGCACAAAAAAACACCACCCCCAGATACTCAGTTTGATAGAGGCTGGAGCACAAGCAATAGGGACCTCACTTGGAAGGGAGCAAAGGTGACCTTCAGGCATGAGTCTCGAAAGGGCAGGTGGCCAGTAGGATCTCTACGTTCCAGGAGATCACATCTGTGGAATAGGAGGGATCATCAGGGCCAGGAGGGGGCAGGACTCACACCTCCAACCCCATCCCGCACCTCTGCTCACAGGATGGCCTCCTGAACTGGCAGCGATGTATGTACCCAGCAGTCCACATGGCTGCCATGGGCCTCGTACAGCCGCAGGACCAGTGTGTGGTTCTGGGTTGTGGTTTCAGCCTGGGGAGGGAGGCAGGTGGTAGGCAGGCCAGAGCATAGCTAGCCCAGGACCCTGAAACCAGAAAGCCCCCTGCTTGCCTGTTTGACAGTCTCCAACACGACAGCTGGTGAGGACAGTGAAAAGGCACTCCAGGCAGTGGCTGGGGCTGGTCCTGGGGCTGGCAGTACCAACAAAGGGAAGTTGAGGCTGTAGGCAGCGGGGATAACACCAGCATCCTGGAAGGAGCCTGGCCATGGCCAGAAAGCCACACATGGTAAAAATGGAGCCCTCGGTGGGGGCCGGGCTGCTGAGGTGCGTCCCAAGGAGGTTAGTTTATCTGGAGGCTCAGAAAAGCGCAGGGGGTATCTAGGGCACAGGAGAGACCTGGCGTGCCCAGTACTCACCCTTGTGCGGCATCAGTGCATAGGTGAACTCATGGCACCCCATGTCAGCGGTAGCGTCAGGAGCCTTAGGTGCCCGCAGGCTGGGGTGTAAGGGGGGTCAGGGGTGGAGTCTGGCCCGGGAAAACCAGCTCCCCACACCAGCCCAGCCTAGGAGCCCCCACTCACAGTGACAGGCTGAGGACATTGCCTCTCGCTGATGCCCCATACTTGCAGTCATTGAGCAGGGCCAGGCCGAAGCCATGCTCTGACAGGTCCATCCAGCGGTGGGTCCACACCTGCGGCAGGTCCACACCTAGTTGGTGACCCCACTCTTTTCCTTGGGCCCCCAGTCTTTGGTGTGCCTGTCACTAGGGTGTCACTAAGATTGAACTCTAGCTCCCCCTTTAGCAAACCTTGTCCATGCCACCCAATCTGTATGCTTCAGTATTCTCATGAGTATCAAACTGAATATATAGCATTTAGCCTAAGGCCTGGCACAAGCAACTTGTGGTCCTCCTCCTCCTCCTCCTAAACCACACAGCCCATGTCTCAGCCAGGGAGGGTCTAAGACCCTTCCTCCCCCATCCCCATGGCAGACCTCAAATCGAGCCCAGTCCCAGGAGGTGTTGTAGTGGGTGGGCCGCTGCAGGTGCCCAAACTGGATCTCGTAGGTGGCCTGGAGGCTCCGAACACGGGCAGGGAACTCCACCTTCAGGAACTTGTGGGCCTCATGCCAGTGCACCTGGGAGCACAAGGGAAGAGAAGGGAGTATCACCCCCAGTTGGGGCCAGCCTCTCCTCACCAGTCACACCTGGCAAAGGTGGCCACCACCCTGCCCCAGCTACCTTGGTGTGGAAACGGACATAGGGGCAGCCGATGTCCAGCACAACCTCCTGGCTGAGCTGACTGTTGGGGCTGATCTGCAGTAGGAACCAGGCACTGCCCCGAAGGCCACCCTCAGTGCCCACGGCCAGGGTCCCTGCCTGGCCCAGCACAGGCTTCCTGTGAGATGGATGGGGGCACTGAGCCAGAACAGCCTATTTCCCTACCTCTGACCCCCAAGTCCTCCTTAGCAAATACCGTGTCTCCAGGTGGTAGTCCATGACGTCCCAAGCATCCCAGTACAAGGGGACATCATCAAACAGCACAAACTGGTTCCCCAGAGCACCCTCAGCAATGGCCTCCCTGGAGGGACATGGGAATTGGCACTTCATATCTGTATCACCGTGTGTTCCAGCCGTACTTGGTAGAGCAGGGCAGGGTAAGTGGGGACAAGGGACTCGGGGCCCAGCCTGCCCCACCCCATGGTGGGTCCCAGGTGAGGCCCAGTAGGCTGCTGTGGCCAAGGGACAGGTACAGAGAAAGGACAGTAAGGGGTTGGCACCTGCCAGAGGCCACCAGGACTAGAGACGCCAGGTGGCCAGTTGGATCCAGCCTCACTCGGATGATGCCATTGTCCAGAGTCACAGAACCATCAGTCTTGGGTGGGAGGAACTTTGAGGCTGAGCCTGCAAGGGCTTCCCACAACCAGGGGCCTCCTGCCCCTAGCTCCAGCCTGTTGGTTCCAGGTTCAGGAGCACCTAGGACAGCCCTCCGCCTTCCCGGGAGCTGCAAGACTTACCTCCTGCACCACGAATACTGGCTGCTGGAGCGGCAGGGGCTGTGGTGAGGTGGGAGCAGGTGCATAGCCCATGCTAGGCACGGTCACCAAGGCTGGAAGTGAGGCCCAGCCATTAGCACCACCCACTAACCATCCAGACACCTCCCTAAGGTCAGGGCAGGATGGTGAAGGATGTGGCTCCTACCCCACGGCATGAGGCACCCCGAGACCCCTAGAGACCCCCAGGGGAGTGCGCTTTTCCTAGTCTTATGGCCTGAGTTCCTCCCCTCTGCTCCTACCCAGGCTCTGGGCACCCCCAGGCTTGGGCAGGGTCAGCACTTCTGTGCGCTTCCAGGGCAGTGTGTTGACCACCAGGAGGCCCTCAGGCCCAGGCTCCCTGGCACATAGGGCACCAGCCGCAGTGCTGAGCAGTGTGTTGCCATGGGAACGGATGTCTGGGGAAAGAGGGAATAGTCAGTCTTAGGGCAATGGGTCTGGGGTGACCCGTGTGTTCCATGGGGTACATTCTGGGCCCTGCCCTGGGTTGCAGAGGGGAGTGGGACTCATCAGCCTCACCTTCATAGTGTTTCATGGCATCCTCTGCCACCAGCTGGATGCAGCTTCCAGTCACCACGTCATGGAACTGGTTCAGGAGCAGGAGCCTATGGGGGGCAGCCAGGGTGGGGATGGGGTATTGGCAGTGGTGGAGGAGTCTGGGGTTGGCAGGGCCGGGTGCCAGGCTGACCTCCAGAGGTGCTGCAGCTGGGCTGCTGGGTACAGGAAGTGGGCACTTTGGGCCAGAGCCAGGCTGCTGAGCAGCTCAGCGTCGTGCAGGATCCGCTCACATTCTCGGTTTCCCTTCTTGATCTATTCCCGGGGAGGGGTGGGTGAGTCTGGGCTCGGCCTGAATAGCCCAGGATACCCCAGAGCCACTTGAGCTCAGAACCCCTCTGGCCACTCCACCCAGCACTTCTCCTCCAGCACCCCAGGGCCCTAGCCCTTGCACATCTCTCCTCGGGACAGGCGCAAATAGTCTGCTCTTGCCTCGCTCCCGGACCACTGCAGACCTGGGCAAGGGTGGTGTAGGTGCCATTGTGCAGCTCCAGGAAGAGCTCCCCGACCCATGTGCACAGCTGGCCTTGGTCACTCTCCAGCGCCTCGAAGAGCTGGCCCGGAGAAGACAGCTGCACCCTGAGGGAGACCACAGCCTGGGCCTCACCATTTTCCACTCCGAGAACACTGACAAGAGGTACAGCCCCAACAGGGAGCCCCCTGCAGACCTCCCTGCACACACAGCACTGGCTCTGGAAACTCAGGAACCACCCTCTCTGGTGGGCTCAGGCACCTGACCACCATGGTGGTCCCCCCTACCCCCCAGGTGGGAGCCTGGAGGAATCGGCGGGCTGGGCTTGGAGGAGGACGAGGTTGGGTGGAGGGGCTGAGCCTAGTGCAGGAGCAGAGGGCAGGCTTGAGGCCAGGGCTGAGGTGGCTACACGAGAGCCAGGCCTGACCTGGGTAGCCCGTCAGTGTTGCCCAGGCGCCTCAAGCGGTCCAGCATGGTCTGAGTCGGGCCACCGCCCCCATCACCGAAGCCATAGAGGAAGGCACTGTGGTTGGCCCGCCCCTTGTCCCGGTTGTTGCTCACAGTCTTCAGCACCTGGATAGAGGTCAGTGAGTGTGGGCCCACCTAGCCCAGGACGCCTGGCCCTCTCCACCTGGCCCTCACCTGTCCTAGGTGCTCCTCACCTCCTCCACGTTGCCCTGCATTCCATAGGAGTCACCAGGTGGGAAGTGGACCAGCACACGAGAGCCATCCAGCCCCTCCCAGAAAAAGGTGTGGTGCTGGAGCAGGGGATGGAGGCAGGGGAGAGGCTGGGGTAAGGCTGAAGCAGGGTGGCCTTCCCCACCAGGTCCTCAACCTGCCCTGCCTGCTACAAGATACTGACGGGAGCCCCACCCTACTCCACTCCCCATGAGGATCTGGTGA